CTGTCGGCACTGCTAGCATTATAACTAGCATAATCGCTCCAAATAACTAGCAGTGCTAGTAGCACAATTTCCTCATATAACTAGCATTATCCGCCGGTGCCTAACCAGTGGTTCAAGGGCTGTTGCTGGTTTTCTAATTTATGCTACTCTCGGGTTCAACAGACTTTAGTCGTTTTACTCGGGGTCAGTTTTTTTGAATATTACAACTTTATGGCATTGTTTTAACACGCAGTATTATGTGTTAATGAATCCTCTGCGGGTTCTCTTGAATCGAGGGCGTCTCAGTATGTGGTTAATGCTAATTTTTATATCTAACTGTTTTGCTTCACCCGGCTGGACAGGTCGAACGGGACCCGAGGGCTGTTTCTGAAACCATCAATTTGGTGATAACTGCCACAAGTCCTCGCGCACTCCAAGGTTGGTTGGTTGATTTGTTTGCTTGCTTATTAATTTTAGTTCAAAGTCTATGAACACACAGTAGCTCATGGCGGATAGTGTTCAAAACAATGGCAGGTTCTGCTCGGAAGGCAGTGAAATTGGCAGAACCACACAAACCGTATGGCAGGCACTTCCTTGAATTCTGCACCATTTCTTTTACCCATTAGGCGAAACATACATGAACCTTTACCAGACAAAACACCAAATTTTCCCATTGTTATGCAGGCATTATCCACCAATGGCTAACGCACAGGAATACTTCCCTTCTTAAATGGAAAAAAAACTACAGTAATGTGCAATGCTTACTTTAGCTCATACATGTACATGCACACCCTTCAAAGCGGTGAAACCCTTGATCGGCGACAAGCCTATGGGTCATCCTAATAAAGATATTATTATTATTATTATTTTTTTTTTTGCGGTTAGAGCATCGCTGGCTACAAGCGAGGGTCCCTGGTTCGAGTCCTGGTGGTGACAGTCAATTTTTCTTCGGACTTTTCCCGTTTGTCTCTTTCCCTCAAAATCAGTCATTATTATTATTATTATTATTATTATTATTATGTAGCTCTCTTGTCAGCATCTGCCACTATGTCGAGCATTGTCCGCCGAAGGCTACAAGTATGTTTAACACAACAGAGAAAAGGGAAGAAAACTAGAAAAGGGAAGAAAACTATTATGGCAAAAATACATGAACCGTCAGTGAGGAATCCCACCAGTCTGTTTTCATGCATTTTTTATGCATTCAAATAATAATAATAATATAATAATATCTGTATTAGGATGGCCCAGAGGCTTTATACATGTACAGTCACGGAGACCATTTTTGAAGGATTCTCCAGTACATATATTGGAGCGGACAGTATTGTATTGTATTCGTGGTACAATAATATCATGGTTTAAAATAAGACTATCCAAAGGCTGGCCGCCTACTAAGGGATTCACCGCATTTGCTGCTATACACATTGGTATGAGTGAAATGTCGTTCAGGATGAACTCATTGTGGAGCCGAATAGGAGGGGTGGGTTGGGGGTGTGAGTCTATGTGCCAGAGGGTTGTTTGCCGCTTGTTTGGCGCAGTTCCTCCTTTAAACCATGAATTGACAGTTGCGCATTAGCCACGATGAAATGCAGTTCCATAAGATGGTGGCCAAGCAAACAAGCTGCCCGGGATAATGCAGTGATTCAATACCGGTAATTGGCTTTTGTGGTAAGATTGTGCTGGGGGGGGGGGGGGGGGGTAGTCAATTCGGACTTCGGATTCTGCGTTTCCTAACTTTGTTGTTAGCTAGTAGTAGTTCTTGCAACGAAGCCTGGATACTATCCAACTCGTTCATGATGGCGGTAGAAAGGGAGGGTGCAAAGAGAACAGAGATAAGTTAACTTGGATAGTCAGCGTGAAGGAAACAGCAAGACTCAAGTCACATTCACGCTCCTTGGTTCTGCTTCATAGGTCCCAGGTGCCTGCGTCAATGTCACATTAACATTTTTTTAAATAATAATAATAATGTTACCCACAGGTTTGAGGGAGATGGCAACTAGAAAATCCTGCAGACAGAATTGTCTGGAACGACCAGGACTCGAAGCAGGGGCCCCCAGGGTTGATTGGGTTGCATTTCTGGCAACAACTAGTTTCTGATCGACAATTGCCAGCGGTTTGGGCTCGGTGACGGCAGCTTAAAGGGTTGGAGCCAGAAATTCCTTATGTTCGTTTCGTGGCAGGGGGTCAAAAGTCACTTGCGCTGCCATGACATGACCTCCACGTGAGCACAGAAAATCGTTGTGTCTATCTTCCTGAAAGCATAGCCCACTCGCAAAGCGTAATGTTTTGGTTGTATTGGCTATCAATAAGATGAGGTGTGCCGTCATTGCAACACGCACGAGTTCAAACAAAGTCCAATTGTAGCTGACCAGAACGTGTTCTCGTGACTTTTCGTCAGTGGTTATCGTCACTGAGGGATTTAGACAAAACCGAAGACTTGTATATCGATGTGATAAGAGGACTGATGTGATAAGAGCTAAAAAAAAATAATACCAAGCCCTGGCTAGGGGTGATACACGAACTAGGCAAATGATACAAGCAATACAAATTTCAGTACACCTATTGAGAGGGAAAAAGAAGTGACAATAATTATAATGAAATGCACGTGAGTTGCAATTATTTTATTGTTTGAACTTCCGTGTGTTTTGCATTATTGCAATGACGACACCACCTGATAGCCCTCGTTATACGTATTGTTGTCTTCTAAAGTCGACAGAGAAGGAGGACCGAAGGATAAACCCACGGGCGACAGAGTAAAAATAACGAAGAAGAGGCTAGGTATTGCAGTGACCGAGCCAGGTAGAGAAGAAAAAATGTCAAGTTGGCCAAAGCGATTTATGGGGAGAAGGGATGTTCCCGCTACTAGCTAATCTATGCATAATATTATAATAATATGTACATGCTCAATCTGCGGATAGCATGCTGTTTCGTTCTTTGTGAACTCATCAGCGCAGCACAGAAATACATGTATAATGGCGCTGCCGAGTCTAAAATCTCGAGGGCTTTCTTCAATGCTGATGGCTGGGCAATGAGTCTTACAGAGGGACAGAGAATTCCGGAACGAAGAAAAACTAAATTGAAACTTAAAAAAATTATCTATAGTTCCACACCACACGCACGGTCTAATCTTTGTAAGTGTAGTTTATATGGTTTATTCGAGCACAATGATAATGCATGTTCGCATTGTGCACCGTCCATGCAACTTAGCCACTTATACAGAATGCAATTATCGTGAAATCCCACACAATGTACATAAGAATGGTGCTGGAAGTAAACCTCGTTTCACCCGCTGTGTACCTAGCGGTAATCTTGGGTGGAAGGCAATTCCATAATTTGCCGATTTTATGTAAGAAAATGGAAGATGAAAACTGCGGAACTTGTAGCTCCTTGGTCCTTTTTCTTTCTTATGAGTTATTAGATACAGAATATATTATTATAATGGCTCTGCCGAGTCTAAAAATTCGAGGGCTTTCTTCAATGCTGATGGTTGGGAAATGAGTCTTACAGAGGGAGAGAGTGTTCCAGACCGAAGAACCACAAACTCCAATAGTGGCCCTGCCAGATGGACCCTGCCAAAACGGGATTTTGAGGTGATTGATTCGCTGCGCTGGACACACTAACGTCCTATTTCAGTCCCAAAGGAGACCCTTTAGGGTTTGAGGAGTAGACCAGTGGTACTTGTTGCTGCTGCTAACGGCACTGACTCCTTTTCGCCAGTAGTATTATGGTACAACGAGTACCTGAATACCGTTGGTCTAGTAGTGGCTGGGAAAGTGTAGATTCTATTTCGGATCCTAGTGTTTCTTTTCGGATTATCTTGATTCTGAGTTCACACGAGCCGGTTTATTTCGTTGAAGTTGAATTTCCTCGCTGCCTTATACTACCGATCCGTTTGAAGAAGACCTCTCTCTCTCTCTCTCTCTCTCTCTCTCTCTCTCTCTCTCTCTCTCTCTCTCTCTCTCTCTCTCTCTCTCTGCACGCAGTGAGTGGAAAGCCAGCAGAGTTTGCCTGTAATATTAATGATCTATGCACATTGCCTATCGTGGAGTGGACAGCCAGACGTGTTGGGTGCTGCATGCACTGACAGAGATGCGTACTATAATAATATTACTTATACATGTACCTGTGGAGCATTATGTCCGTTTCTACAGGCATTAGGGCTAGGCGGGGCACGCACGACGTACACACATCAACCAACCGTACATGCTCACTGCGCTGCTTTTCTAAAGTCAAACTTCAACCATTACAGTAGGGTTATAGGACATCTTACCACGTTGTTAGACTGCCTCGAATAGATGTGATCGTGAGGCAACAGGGCAAAGAAGGAGAGAATCATTCTCTTGTGTAGAGGCCTTGGTACCATTGAATCGTTCTCAGAAAGGCGCCCTGGCCTACTAAATAATAATATCCGTCGATTTGGTCTCCATGTCTGCTCACAAACATCAGATAAACGCGACGTGACCCTATGGAGACGTGTGTACTGAATGAAAGGAACAGGAGTAGCCGTGTAAGATGGCAACGTCTGTAGGGCCTTCCCTATCAAAATAATAAATTCTACTACTACTACTACTACTTTTTATGGATTCCCCAAAGGCAGGGGTCTCCGTTCATGGCTTTCTGGGAATATATCTGCAAAATTATAACATTATAGATTGAGAAGAGGAAGGGTTATAACAAATGCGTACCGTAGAAATCATCCATAACATTCGCTACTACTGCGCACAGCTCGCGCGTTACCAAAAAGGAGGCCCTAGAGGGACTCAACATGTGCTCAAGTATTCGTGTACGGTCGAAAAACCGCCTAGCGAGACCTTTTGGAAGCTTCACCCGGTGCCGTAGTGCGGGGTTCAAGCTACGATAATGGAAGCGATGGGCATGGCTCATGTCGGCCCCCTTTAAAGAACTCTCCGAAATGCCAAATACAGTCGTAGATGTGCCCTTGGTGCACGTCCGCCTTCATGTCTACATTCCTTAGTTGTCCTAATGCGGGAAGGAAATGATTACTTTTTGAAGGGAGGCCGGTAATCGTGTGCTCATTCACTCCTGGTGGTGGTCGCGGTGGTTCGTGGATTTGGGGTTAACCGCTTCTATTGGCGCTTGCCTGCACTGCTTCCAGCCTCGCTTTCTGACCACTCGACGTGCTTCGAGTGTACGACCGCGCCCCTCCGTCAACTGTCCACCCAGCCGCAGCTAGTTGCAATCAATAACAAGCTGGGTTTATCAGCCTCGACGGAGACAAGCAACCAAGTAAGGTAGTTAGCCATATGTTACTTTGACGTCGTCGACTCCAAAGTTCCAGTAGTACCTGTATCATTTTGATCGCATTTTTCCGACTTTCCTTTCTTTCGCTAACGCGTGATGTGTGTGTACATGCACCATGTCAAATTGCGTTGTATAATTATAGCCACAGCCAGAACACAATGCCGAATGTATTCCATGTATCCCCCGTGTATTTACGTGGTGGTACAATTGGTGCGTTTGCAATCCAGGAGTATGCTTCGAGATTGTGGTAGCAACTTCGACTATGATTTCATAGGAATGGTGGTGTTTGTCAAGTCGACGGGAAAGCGCGAGCTCCGGTGTGGGGAGCAAACATCTTTCCTGGATTATGCTAGTTTTATAGAATGGGGATTTAAATTGCAGAACAATTTGAATGTATCGAAAGCTGTATTTGTAATTAGACCTAATGCTCCTTGTCTTCGTTCTTCGACGTAATTTAGTCCTTCATGTGAGTTGAGTGAAATGAAATAGAAAATAAATATAATAATGTAAACAATCTGGCGAGTAGTGCGGCCCCTCCTTTTATGGTACTAAAACTGTAGGTGACGCCAGGAAAGAAAGGGTCCGTGATTCCTTGGAGCTGGGGTCGTGGCACGATGCGCCCTACAAAGGACTTCATCATGACCCATGTGCTGAGTCCACAAATGTGGCCCAAACTGTCGCCCCCCCCCCCCCCCGGCCCGGGGGAATCACCCAAGGGGGATCACCGAAGAAGATCTCTAGTTTGCTGGAATTATTATTTGAAACTCGGATGTTGAGCCATAACAGTGATGGAGAGTTACTCTTAACTCGTATCCATAATGTCTTTTTCCTTTCTGTAATTATTATTAATTTCAAATTTGGACTTCACGGAGAATTTCAAAGTTTTAAGGAAATTAGAGGCCACATGCCACGTACTGCTCTTTTCTCTCCGAAACTCAACACTTGCAAGCCATATATGAAAGAAAGAAAAAATCATCAGTCACACCACCGAGACTCGAACCAGGGACCTTGCTATTCGCGAGCAATGCTCTAACCAACTGAGCTACAGTATGACTCTTATCCACAGTGATGGTAAATCTATCCTTCTTCGATCAATTCATATCTGGCTTGCATCATGCTGGCAACTCACACCAATCAAGAGGGCCCTCGGCCATTCGCCAGTGGTGTGACTGATGATTTTTTCTTTCTTTCATATCTGGCTTGCAAGTGTCGAGTTTCGGAGAGAAAAGAGCAGTACGTGGCATGTGGCCTCTAATTTCCGTAATTATTATTATTATTATTAGAAAGGAAGAAAGGAAAAGGACATATGGACATATTATTATTATCAAATTTTTAATGACTTGAATGATTTATGATTACACTCGGCACTGACTTAGCCTACAGGGACTTTGTGACGGGATTTTGGGGAAATTGTGAGTGGATTGCCCACTCAAAGTAGTTCCTGCCAGAAAAAAACCATCTCACCATTTCCCACAAAGCTAGAGAGCGAAAAGAATGGGTACTTGAGGAAAGGGAAGGAAAGGCACGTGAATAGAAAAGGTCGACATGGAGGTAGAAATCATATACAGTCAACTTCGCTTATAACGACACTCGGCGGGGCATCAAAAAGGTGTCCTTATTCGCAAAGTGTCGTTATACCCGAAGTCTCATTATATATATTACAGTGGGATGGGACTTTCCTCTGGGTCTGGAAATTCTGTCGTTATTCGCGAATTGTCGTTATATCCGCAGTCGTTATTAGCGAAGTTGGCTGTAGTTGAGATATGGAGGATGAATCTGGACTTACCTGGCACCGTCTTGTGACGTATTGCGCTATTGACTGGACCAGTTTAGTGATGTGCTGTTGACCCAGTTTCCGCCTTAGTTCACGTGTGCATTATTTTTTCATTGCAATGCTCCTCTTTCTTCAACCCCTCCCACTGTATTCCTGACGATGGTTATTTATTCTTGACCGAACCGTTGAAATGATTTTCATGAAATGAATTAGTGAAATGTAGTGCAGTATGGGCAAGTGACGATCAAAATCCCATTCTACATACCATATGGCTGCACCTTTAAAGCGATGGAGGTATGTTCGATTCTAAGGCCCTTCTCAACTATAAAGCCATGGGCCTCATAAATGAAATGGTATTTGAAGTATGTTTTGTCAACATGAAAGCATAAGTACTATACTAACAAATTTAAAGCCCAGCAGGAACGGGGATGAACAAGTGGATTTAGGATGAAACTTCTGTGTGGACTTCGACTTTTATGGCATGGTGTAGTTGTGGGTGAGTCATTATGCATCTAAAATAGCTAGGAAAGAAGCGGTGTTGGTGTTTCAAATAGAAGGCCATGGCTTTAAAGGCGCTGACATACGGTCTAAAGCTCCGTGAAGTGTCCTGCATGATTTTAGTGTGTGATGTTCCAGATATGGAATGCTCCATTCTTCGAGTATGGTGTATGCTATGTACATATACGGACTTCTGCGTGACAAGAGCTTTCTTCGGGTGAAGGAAAGCTCTTTCTACGTTTTCAGGCAACCAGGAGTGCAGACGTAATTCTGCTCTTTCTTGGATGAATCTCTCTAGGAAAAAGAATAAACGAGGGCAATAAAGCAACGCAGCTCGATGTAGTCTCGAGGCATCATCATCATTATCATCATCATCTGCGTTGCCGAAAAATAATAACAGTAAAATAGAATAATAAAATAATAAACGGCATTATGCAGCTGTGGAAGCAGTAGATGCACAGTGTGACTGCCAGGCATCTCTGTCAGATGCCAACTGGCGAATCCCCATGCAGAGACACCCCCCCCCCCCTCCAGTCCACGAAACGATATTGAATCTCGAGTGCAAACCACCAAACGGCCCACGACCTTGAGAGACATGAGCAGGGTCTTGGGACGGGCCTGGGCATATGTATCTTTGGTAGAAGTTCGCATCCACCGAGCCATATCGACAGGAATCTCCAAGTTTCAACCTTTCCCGATGTTCGTAGATCTAATCAAGCTTCGGAGAATTTCGTAGGAGTGCATGCGGCTAAAACACGCTTGCCTAAAACTTGAAGTTACAAATTCTTTCCTTCTTTCTTGATTTCTTCCAGGTATCCGAAGCATTCAGTGCAGCCCTAGTTAGCAAAGCCAAGTGCTACCAGGTCGCAGCAACCAGGGAATTGCCACCTTGATTTACTCCTGGATCTATTTACGGACCCGTGGTAATCAATTGTAAGTCCAATATGCATTGCAATGCACTTGTCGTTGACAACAATCTTGAAAAGAACAAAAATGTATTCTGCTCCAACTTCCTTACATCCATCCATACACACATGCATGCCTAAACACACACACAAACACACACACACACACACACACACACATGCATACACACTACTCACACACACACATGCACACACTTGCACACACACTTGCACACACACACACACACACACACACACACACACACACACACACACACACACATGCACACAAAACACACACACACGCACGCACGCACACGCGCGCGCACGCACGCACGCACGCACACACGCACGCACGCACGCACGCACGCACGCACGCACGCACACACACACACACACACACATACACACACCTTTTGACCTTTGACCTTTTGACGCCCATCGCCGGAGGCGATGATAGCAATGCTATGGCAGAAGCCATAGCAACTTGTGCTGGGATTGCACCATTCAACAGCTTGCAAGGCTGAAGAATTGACCGTCACAATTCAGCCTGGTCTACACCATACAGCTATTTGAAGTGACTTTTTCTGGCCAGTGAATCCCTATTCATTTTTTGGACATTTCATTTATATAATATTTTCCCGCACACACCATCACACCACATACTCCGGCATGCACTGGCTGTTGGTAACCACCCAGGAGAATGAAAGAAAAGTCAGGAAGAGTCTGAGAAAGAGAAGAAAGACGTGTGTGACCATAATCGTCGGGAATCGAACCCGCAACCTATCGATTGGAAGCCGCTGCACATACCACTGCACCATATGGGACACACACACACACACACACACACACACATACACACACACACACACACACACACACACACATCAAAACACACGTGGACACCTTGTCTATAACTGATAGTCTACTTACTGCATAAGTGCGAAGTTTCGTTTGTAATTAACTTTCGCTATATTCTAGTGGTGTCCACCAGTAGTCGGGTACCCGTGCTACCCGTGAGGACCTCGGGTAGACGGGTATCGAATCGTACCCGAAAACCCGAAGTCGCAGATGACATGTAGAAAGAGTAGAGAGAGAGGTCTACAGTGCACGTGTGCAAATAATTCACGCACGTCTACCCAGTGTGTCAGGGAAGGGGCCGGTGTGCATTGTGGTCTTGCCATGGGAACATTACCCGATCGGGTACCCGTGCTACCCGTGGAAAACTACCCGGACCCGATACCCGAAGAAAATGCTACCCGACTCAGCCCTACTATATTCGTTAGGGGCACGAAATGACTATAGTTTGTACCAAACTAAAGTTTTTTTTCTGAACGTTCGGGGTCACAGACCTCGACCAAAACGAAATGACTATAGTTTGTACCAAACTAAAGTTTTTTTTCTGAACGTTCGGGGTCACAGACCTCGACCAAAAACGAATTTTAGTATGAAACGAACCTGCTGGCGGAGTGATCTAACGAAAGATTTCGTGTGAAAATTTGCACGTATACAGTACACGTTTTCACGCATTCAGTGGCACCTCAAAGGGTTAATATTTGGCGACAAGACGTTGAATGTTTTGATTTATTGCTTTATCGTTCTCCGTATGCATCCAGGTTCCCTTCTTTTCCTGGTCTCGAGTTTCGTCAGCGTGCAAACAACCAGATAGTTACCGTCTCTCTCAGCGCGTCTGGTATGTCCATAGATATTGCTTGGAGGATTTGTGTGTGTACATGTGTGCGTGTGTATGTGTGTGTGTACGTGTGTACGTGGGTGTGGGTGTGTGTGTGTCCATATGGTGCAGTGGTATGTGCAGTCAATTTCCAATCGAGAAGTTGCGCGTTCAATTCCCGACGATCATGGCTGCACACGCCTTTCTTCTCATTCTCATTCTCGTAGCTCTTCTTTCATTCTCCCGGGTGGTCACCAACAGCCAGTGCATGCCGGAGTATAAGCCGCAACCCCCAATTTTTTTGCCCATGAAACACAAAACCCTACCGGTATTCTATTCATCACGGTTAATTTCATATTCGGAGTATACGCCGCACCACTCTTTTCTGTGGGTGACTAATGAGAGACCAAAGTGCGGCTGATGCTCCGGAAAATATGCTGCATGTCCGTCAGATGAGTATTTTTGAACACGAAACTCGGAGGAACGAGAACGTTTTCGGTCTCTGTCCTTCTGCTCTGTGTACATTTTTGTTTGTTTGCAAGCAGGTCAGTTTGTGTGTGTCCGGCGTTGCAGATGTGTGTGTGTGTAAAAAAAATGGAAAATGAAAAATAGGGATTCACTGGCCAGAAAAAGTCACTTCAAACAGCTGTGTGGTGGATACCAGGCTAAAAATAGTGGCGGTCAATCCATCAGCCTTGCAAGCTGTTGAATGGTGTAATCCCAGCACAAGTTGCTATGTCTAACATAGCTGTTCGCTATCATCGCTTCTGCGATGGGCAGGTCTGAGGTGTGTGTGTGTGTGTGTGTGTGTGTGTGTGTGTGTGTGTATGTGTGTGTGTGTGTGTGTGTGTGTGTGTGTGTGTGTGTGTGTGTGTGTGTGTGTGTGTGTGTGTGTGTGTGTGTGTGTGTGTGTGTGTGTGTGTGTGTGTGTGTGTGTGTGTGTGTGTGTATTCGTACGCATGAGGGCGCGTGTCCAATGGTACTCGTCTATCACACTCTCAACTCTATTAACACGTAGATGGACTGTGTTTGCTGCTTTTGTGTCGTGTTCCCGTTTCGTCTTCCTCTGTAGGTAGTGTAGTGTGTGTCACCCAGTATCCCAGTTTAGTCATGTCTGTCACTGCAACCATGCATCCTCAGGCAGTAAACCGCTTCAACAACAACAACAACTCTCTTGTTGGTAGCAGCACTCCTGACTGTGACCTGCCATTGTCCAAGGAGAATGCTCTTCAGTGCCCACACTGCGGAATCAAACTGGCCAACCAGGCACGCTTGCTCAAGCACATGCAGCGTCACCGCGTACGCAGCGAAGTCAAGTGTCTGGAATGCAGCGCCGTGTTTGTGGACGACGACTGCCTGCGTGACCACATGCTCCGTGAGCATATCCATTACATCTCATCCTCTCCATTCACCAGCAGCAGCTCAGAGAGCGACTACAACGCTTCATTCAGGCACAGAGTGGCGCACCGCCGTGCAAGCCGTGCAAGACGATTCCGTTCGGCTTCTCAAAGCAGCAACAACATGATCCGAGGCAACAACACGCCCAAACCCGTCTACGCCGCGATCAACACCCCTCCTCACACTCCGGAGGTTGAACGCGTTCGCCAATGGCGGAACTCTAACAACGTCACGGACGAAGATGAAGATACGACCCAGGTCAGGGAACCACCGCAGACCAAGAGGCGAAAACACTCAGCCACCAGTGACACTTCTATGAGCTCCGCAGAGAAGCAGTCGGATGAAGAAACCACCCCGCCTCCACCAGCGCGGAAAATTAGCATTCTTGAGCAGCTGCTGCGAAGAAAGACGATGATCCCGGTTGCCACCGCAACAGTAGCTCCAATGGTGACGCAATGTGAGTACAGTGTACAGGAAACACCTTGCAGGGCTACCTACGAAGCGAACATGTACCAGCGACCGACAACCATCTTCTTTGCGCCTCAATACCCATCGCAACAACCTCAAGTTCCCTCTCCGGAGCAGTTGCAGACGCATCGCCGGCATCAGCAGCAACAGCAGCAACAGCAACAGCAGCACTACCAGCCAGCGCAGCCATATCACCTCACGAGCCCGTCGCATCCCCACAAGGCGACACCAATGGACCTGATTACGCAGTCGTTCACCAACCAAATCAGCCAAGCGTCATTGGACAAGCAGCAAGGTTTTCACCTGTTGGAGAGGAATTTGGTCTGTGAGCACTGTGACAAGCGCTTTCTCTACAAGT